GCTTCCCCGCAGAGTTTCCAGCAGCATTGAGGTGATCTTTCATCTTGGCGTCCAGGATCCTGGTCAACTAGGGTCCCCTAAATACCTTTCTTAGTTCTTCCCTGCGCCTTGGAGCCTGACTCCACACGGTTCCTGAGGTTCCTGAGGTTCCTGAAGCCTGTATACAGACTAGACCCCCTATCAACCCCAAGCTCAGGGTCCTCTGGAATCTTCGCTGCATCAGCTCCCCCTGGTGGCCAGAAGCAACATTCTAGTGTCACCTATTGAGAGCCTAACATATCCTACCTACCGCAGGGTTCCTGTTTCAGGACAGCCTTGGGCCAACGCTCCTCTGTCAGCAGAGATGAATGATATATCAGGAACCCAAGGAAGGGTCACGTATACACCCACCCCACCCCTTTCCTGAGGCTCTCTGCGGCTCGCCCCTCTGGTGTTCTCCCCAGAACCTAGCCTTACTGCTGAGCAGGAGTCAGTACCATAAACAATGCCCCCTCTCATTTCTTCCAAGGATAAAAAAGGAGCTAATCCCCTCACAAACTTAATCCTTCCTATACCACCATGTGGGTTAGTTAGAAGCGGGAATGGAACCAGGAATGCTGAAAGCCTGCCCCCTTTCCTCCATGTCCACCCTCTGGATTGGCAAGAGGAGGGGCAGGAGGGGGTCTGGGACAGCGCTGAGTGCGGCTGATGAAAGTGTGTGGTCCGCCAGCGTCAGGGCCATCACCTGAGAAATAGGCACCTGCATGTGGAGAAGACAGAACCCCACAACGCCTGCTCCATCCCAGCAGCCACAGCCTTCACGCGGCCCCTTGTCACGTCTCTTTGTCACTGGCAGCTTCTTCATCCATTCAGCTAGTTCATTTAGCACTGACATGGCTCTTACCTGTAGGAGCGGCTCCCCACAAATCCATCCTCTACTCTCTCCCAGAGTTGGCCTTCCAACCATGTCAGTCCCCTGCCAGCTTCAAAACGTTCAATGGCACTTCAGGGTAAAGTTTGGAGCCTTGAGAATCAAGTCAAATTCTCCCATAATCTAACCCCACCCTCAGCTCTGGCACTCTGCCTTCAAGTTTAGACCCCAGAAACACCCGGACCTTCCTACCCTCACTTCACCTGCCATGCCCCGTCGCCACACTTTTGCTCATACGAGCTCAGAGTTCTGCTTTCTTTTCTCCTATCACTTCCTTATTGAAGACACAGCTCAGGGGTCACCTCCTCCAGGCAGCCTTGCTGTATCCCCGAGGCTCGATTTGGTGCATGTCTCCAATCCCTCAAGCACTGCATGTACCACATGGGGTTTCATGGCCAGTGCCCTCTCCCCTTCCAGGCAGTGGCCCCAGGGCGGGGACAATGACATGTCTTCAGCCCCTAGAGCAGAGCTTGTCACACACAGGTGCTCAATAAATGCTTGCAGATTTGATTCCATAGATGATGGATCAGTTCACGGTGGGAAGGGAGTAGCATCCTGTACAAGCAGAGTTTGCATCACCTTCTGGAATCCGTTGATTTTTCTCTCCACCTTCCCTAACCTTTCGCTCGCTGCGCCCGGCTGCCTGGGTTTGTTTCCGAGGCACCTGACTATCTGTGATTGCATCCCACCTTCCCAGTTCTCTGCCCTGCTTCTCCTTTGAATGTAGAGAATCCACCTGTCCTGTGTCCATTCAGCTAACATTTTTAACAGCTCCATGAGCTGTGCTCTGTCTGGCACTGGGATGCAGACCCTCTAGGCAGGGTCCCTGCTCTCACCGAAGTCCCTAGCCTGGAGGGGAAGGCAAATCAGGGAAGGGGCAAATAGCATGTGCATGATGGGAGGACAGAGGGACACAGTAGATACCCAGGCGGGCTCTCCAGGCTGCCATAGTTCACATCCCAGCACCTCTGCTTGCTGGCTGTGTGGCCTTGGGCAAGTCCTTTATCTGTGTCTGTTTCCCCTTGGTTAAAAGAGGGGTAAAGAGCTAGCCAGTTTGGCTCAGTGGATAGAGCATCGGCCTGAGGACCAAAGGGTCTTAGGTTCAATTCCAGTCAAGGGCACATACTTCAGTTGGGTTGCAGGTTTCTCCCCCTCTCCCCTCCTAGGGCCCGAGCCAGGGGCATGTGCAGGAGGCAACCAATTGATGTGTTTCTCTCACATCGATATTTCTCTCTGTCTTTCCTTCTCTCTTCCACTCTCTCTAAAAATCAGTGGGAAAATATCCTCAGGTGAGGATTTTTTTAAAAAAGAGGGTTTAAAATAGTATTTACCTCTTGGGGTCGAGTGGGGATTAAGTGAATTAATTCATGTGAAGAGTTTAGCATAGTGCCTACCCCCAGTAAACATTCAGTAAATAGTAGCCAAGAGTATACTTTGCTCCGTGCGTGAAGGAACACAGAGGACACGACAGATCCACAGCAGTTACAAAGGACAAAGGGTCAAGACGTCCACATTCTAACGAAAGCCCAGGAACGGGCAGTGGACATGAAAAGCAAACGCAACGTCTCCTGGTGCTGCCTAACTCTTGTGGCCTTCCAGGCCCGTCCCTGGGGAGGCCGCCGCACCCCGCTGACCATCTCTCCCTCCCTTAGGGCTGACGACTGCTTTTTTGCTTCTCGGAAGCTGGACGCAGTGGCCATCGAAGCCAAGTTTAAGCAGGACCTGGGTTTCCGGATGCTGAACTGTGGGCGGACGGATCTGGTGAAGCAGGCGGTGTCGCTCCTGGGGCCCGATGGGATCAACACCATGAGCGAACAGGTACAAGGTCCTCTGGGTGTCTGAACACGCACCGCCCCATGGCAAGATGGACACGGCAGGCACTGGACAGAGGCTTCCCCTACGGGTGACTTGGGGTGATTTTTTTTTTTTTTAGTTTAGTTTTTAACATAAAAATACCCTTGTTCATTATTATAGAAGTTGCACGTGATCATTGCAGCTGAAATGGAAAAGAGAGAAAAATAGGCCTATTCCAGAAAGGAAATCATTCCCTCACCCGGATAACCATCCTATTTATATTTAGTATGTGTCCTTCAAGTTCTTTTTCCAGCATGGTTAAAATTAGTGCTCAGCCGGCCTGTTACTGCCTCTCAGAACAAGTCAAGACAAATTTTCACCAAACTTTCAGGGTGCGTTTAAGATGCACAAAAGTCATTCTGGGGGACCCTCAGAGGAGCCTCTGAGACAGGCAGCTGTCCCCCCAAGCCCCTGGCACTAAGGCACATTGAAAGGTACTTTGCAATATCATTAAATAGTTTTAGTCCCTTTTAATGGCTACATAACATGGTCATATTATTTATTCACTCAACCACACTCAGTTGTTGGGTATTTAGGTTGTTTCTAATCACTTATATCAATAACGCTGAGCCAAGTAAACTTAGACAAATCTTTGTTCAAATTCCTGATTGTCTCATTAGGGAAACTCGTAAGAGTGGAAATAGTGGCTCAAAACTCATCAACCTTTCTGAAGGTTTTTTTTTTTTTATCTCAAATTACTATTCCAGAGACTGTTTCCTTGTACACACCCTCCAACTACATATATGTGTTTCCTGTGAATCTTTTACTTACCTTTTGCCTGGTTTTCATTGGAGCTTTCCTGTCTTTCTTTTTTACTTGGAAAAGCTCTTTACAGATTAGACATATGACCTTTATTATAATGTGACAGATATGTCTCCATGTACTGCTTACCTTTTCGTTTTGTTTATGTTTTTAATTTCATGTCCTCAGTGCTGTAATGATTTTCCTTTGCGATTCTTTTATTATTTTTGTGCCTAGATGACTTTTATGGTTTTAATTTTGTCCCGATATCGCTAACCAAACTAAAAACGGTTTTAGTGGATGGTGTGAGATAAGGCTTTTCTTACTCGGATATTTTCCCACCTTCACAACACTGTTTATTGAAAAATCCATCCCTTCCTTCTGTTGGTTGGGACATGTTGTTTATACTAAGCAGGAGTCATGGGCAAATACTTCTGGAATTTTTGAAAGCCATTCCTCATTTGCTTGCTGTTTGCTTGTAAATGGTAATGTCAACCCAGATGTCAATGCTGGGGGTGTGCTCAGAGATATCCAATTTCCCTTGACCCCGACCGGGATCTTGTATAGAGTAAAGATGACACTTGTTATATTGAGAAAGAGAAAATGTCAAGGAAACCGTGTTTGTCAGTTAGATAGCTTAGCGGCTGATGCTGCAGAACCCAGAAAGTTGAAATCAGCCATTTGCTTCAGCAAACACTCCCAGGTCTGTTGCACCCTAAGACAGACAAAGGAAAATCCTCCAACATAAGCAACGATTAATGCAGAAAGAAAAAAATGACAATTTATGGTCCCTTGCCTCCATTTTGGTTTTCAAACTATGGAGGATTGTGACCTTAGGAGTCTTCGGGCTGTTTATTTTTTTTAATGCCGGATTTTGAGTGCAAAGATAGCCTTCTAAGCAAAAGGAAGAATTTCTATGTTAGCAGTAAGCGACACAGCCACCTGGTAAACCTTCTCCGTTCTCTGGTTTCTCTCTCACCGCAGGGCATGACCCCCCTGATGTACGCCTGCGTCCGTGGGGACGAGGCGATGGTGCAGATGCTGCTGGATGCCGGAGCTGACCTGAATGTGGAGGTGAGGGTGCCCCCCGGCCTGGCATCCCCAGGGGAAGGTGAACCAAGGGGGGCAGGGGGGACTTTCTCTCCCGAGAACCACTGCTGAGGGCAGGGCTCTCCGTCCAGCAAAAGAGGTCAGACCAGCGGATGGATTTCCTCCACCCTAAGGCCCCAGCCCCGAGAAACTCCAAGGAGCATGTATGTTTCACCTAAAAACAACCAATGACGCTACAAGGCGCACCAGCTTTTACTTGGCTCAGGTGTATCCCTCTGATCCTTATTGTCATCCGTTCCTTCTGGGATCAGAGCAGAGAGCGCTCTCCAGAGCCACCAGCCCTTTCCCTCTGCGCCCTGCAAAGCTGGGCCCTGTCCCAGAGCTGAGGCGGGGCTCCGGCGCCCCCACCGAATCCTGATTGGCCACCTGGTTGGCTGAGTTGCAGCCACAGGTCTTACAGCGAATCACATGGCTCCTTGAGGCAGTGTGCTGGAGCAGAAAGCACACCCCAGCAGGCTTTGGAATTTGACACGGGTTCAAATTCTGAAACTGCCCTGTGCTTTGGTGACATGCTTTTGTGCTTGGCCAAGTGGTTTCTGAGCCTCGCTTTCCCCATCTGCAAAATGGGAGCATAATCACACCCACCTCAGAGAGTTGGAAGGAATAAATACAAAGGGGACCTAGCACAAGTTTGGGACTGGGTGTTGATTTCCTTCCCTGCCGGGTGAAATGATACTTTTTTTTTTTTAACCATGTTCTGTGCTGTCTTAAGACCCACTCTCTCCAGCAGCCAGATATTGGCAGCCTTGGAAACTGGGGAAATTGGTATGCCACAGTCCTAACTCAGCAATCCTGGGGAGCCTTTTTAGGTCAAAATTAGATGCTGTTGTCCTTTAGTACTGTGGGTTTTGGGGGGCTTTTCTATTTGCTTTTGGGGGTTTTTAGTGAGTCTTATGTTCATCTGAGGAAAGCAGTCAATAGACATAGCTTGGGATCCCATTTTGGATCATACAAGTTTCAAGTATTAGGGATTTTTCTCCCCTGTTATGCATCCATAAGCACCGTGCAGACCCTGCGAGGGCTCCCCAGCTTGGGTTCCTGGTGAGATTCCCTGGTCCTCCCTAGCCCAACCCACGGCTCCCAGCTCCAGGCTTCCCCTGCAGGTGATGAGTGAACTCAGCGCCTCTGAATGAAACAGGCATCTCGGTGACGTTGCCCCAGGAATGTTCGGGAAAACCATGTGTGGGTGCCAGTCCTGCAGGACCCCAACCTTCAGCTGCCCAGACACCTGTCTTCTGGCCAGGGGTGTTTTGAGACCCCCATATCAAAAGACCAGTATCAGATTGCTTATCTGTGGTGCTTTCAGGGAAGTTTTTATGCCTAGTTTCCAGAAATCTGAGGGCCTTTGTCTACCAGGAAGGCAGCAGAAGGGTGGAGGGAAGACAGCGTGGGTGAGCTGTGACCAGATGGTGCCATGCCTCCATCCGATGGTGGGCTTCCCTGGCTCAAAAGCTTGAAGCAGACCTCCCCTTGCCTGGGGTTTGCTGCCACCGAGCATGTCCCCTCAAGGTGTGGGTGAAATGGCAGTGGCATCTCACACTGACATCCTGTAGGTCTCAGAACCACCACCTCTCCTGCAGCAGAGAGAGGAGCCAGGCAGGTGAGCTGGCTCATTGTAGCCACCATTACACCTTCTCCAAGGCACCTTAGCGGTGGGCAGAGGTCATCCGTTGAATCGCTTTCAGATGAGAGGCAAAGGAGCCCTTATTCCTCACCACCCACATCACCAGCACTTCCCCAGGCACCGCCCAGGGTGTCCTTTCTACGCCTTTCCCGCGTGCCCAGCGCCAGATAGGTCAGCTCTGCTAGTCTAAGTATTGTGAAGGTCACATTCTGAAAATAACTTCAATTTGTTTATAGGTTGTCAGTACTCCTCATAAATATCCATCCGTCCACCCCGAGACCCGCCATTGGACGGCTCTGACTTTTGCTGTGTTGCATGGACATATTCCTGTAGTGCAGGTATTAACGTATTTCCCTATCCACACCTGACCTCTAATTTTACCGCTTCCATTATGCAAATCTGTACCTCTCCCGGCATGCATAGTCACGAAAACATTCATATTGGTTCATTGCAATTGAATATAGCACATGCATATCATATGAGTGGAAATATTCTATGGAATGATCTATATGGCCCAGCTTTAGCCAATATGAAATTATCACCTACCCACATGCAGCCTCACACAACACGCAGTGGCCAACCTACGGAAGTTGTTCCCAGTCGCGCGGAGGTGGGGCCTGAGCTGTGGTTTTGTGGATTGGTTCGTTTTACCTGTCGTAACATGAACACAAAACTTGGCTGGTGAGAGACCTTGGAACCTCCCCTGAGGTGTGACCCTGGTGTTCGTGTAGAGTCTAGTGGTTTCCAGCTGGTGGAAAGACGCATCCAAGTTGCCAAGGCAACGGTTCCAAAAGACACTTGCTTGGATCCCACTTCTTGGGAATGGGATCCGGGAGACCTAGAGCAGGGCCTTCGCATGTGTCTTCTGAAACAGCTCCCAAGCATGGAGAGACGTCCTCATCCGAGGTCCTTTGGGCATATGTTGCTTGTGCCTTTTCTGGCTGTTGTAGAGTTGGTGTTCATTGACTAGCCAGCCAGTACATTCTAGGTCTTAAACGTGGTCTTCACGGCATCAGAGAAGAGAGATGAGCAGCCGATCCATCAGGAACTCGCCTCCTTTTATGTGGTCCAAGCCGCTGAGGATGAATGGAGAGCAGGGAATCGTGTGAGAGGCACCACTGGGCAACGCTGGGATTCCACAGGAATCCTTTGTCGTTTCCTAGGGTGTGGGGATCCCGAAGACAGGTCCAAAGCCATGCTTCAGGAGGTCGCGTGTGTGACGTGCCACACTGGCTTCTGCCTGTACAGCGTCATGCGCAGTCCAGTCCCAGTAGAGGAGTCTAAGGAAGAAGGGGTGGAGGGTGGCCCGGCAGACGCAGATGCCATCCTTTAACAAGCAGCGGCATCCCCGGCCTTTCAATTCGGAGTCGGCGCAGTGGGCAGCCCAGCAAAGCCAAACCAAAGTCAGGCCTCCTCCCCGCTGCAGGTGCACAAGTCACGGAAAGCCACACATGCAGCCCGCTCCTGGCTGCACCCTCAGGGATAAAGCAAGCAGGTCCCCCCCACCCCAGCCCAGTTCACATCAGCAACAGCACATTCACTGTGAGTGAGATCCGGCATGGACAGGATCTCCGTTTTTAAGAAGCACGGATATCTTAGGGAAGGCACAGAATTGCGTCCTGTGAGGCAGAGCTCTGGGAAGCTCACGCTGCCACATGGAGCCTGCTGGCCAGGACACAGCCTCTGCTGACCTGCCCTCGGAGCTCCCCGGGACCCTGGCCCTGGTTGGCCGGGGCGCTCTCCAGAACTCTCGATCTGTGATTCCAAGAGGCCACTTTAATGCTCTCCGACCCAAACAGGGAGTCTTCCAGCCCCTGGTTCCAGGGGCTTCTAGAAGCATTCATGTACGAGTCAGTCACCTGGAGTGCCTGTTAAAATGCAGACGCTTGTCCAGTGGGTCTGGGGCATGTTTCCCACCAGCTTCCAGGTGCCTCCACTGCTGGCCTGTACCCCATACTGAGTAGCTCAGGTTCTAGTAGATCCAAGCAGCTCCTAGTTCCCCCTCGAGGCCCAGCTGCCCTGGCCCTGGGCCCATGGTCACTGACCCAGAGGAGAGCAGGAACATTGGCATGGCACTGATTTCCACCAGTTTTCCTGACACCCCCTCGCAGCGCGGGTCCTTTAAACATCTCCATGGCCCCTCTTCCTCCGCAGCTGCTCCTGGACGCCGGGGCCAAGGTGGAGGGCTCTGTGGAGCACGGCGAGGAGAACTACTCGGAGACGCCCCTGCAGCTCGCAGCCGCCGTGGGTAAGAGGTGCCATCCTCGCCCTGGCTGAGGGCCTCCACCACCCCGGCCCCGGGGGTGCCTGCGACTCTCTGTTTGCTTTATTCGCTTATAAACCCCCTTCTCTGGGCTTGCAGGCAATTTTGAGCTGGTTAGTTTGCTGTTGGAGCGAGGTGCGGACCCCCTGATAGGAACCATGCACAGGAATGGAATTTCTACAACCCCCCAGGGGGACATGAACTCTTTCAGCCAGGCCGCAGCCCACGGACACAGGTAGGCTAGGGCGGGCCGGAGCCCCAGGCCCTGAGCGGTGCTTGTTAAAAATGCAGATTCCCAGGCCTGCCCCAGACCCACCGCCTCTCTGGATGTGGGGCCCAGAGGCAGTGCAGGCCCCAGCCCGGCCAGCGTGGCCTTCACTGCCCGCTCCCGGCCGAGGGCTAGCCTCATGCCGCACACATCTGTCCGGACTGGCTGTTCTGTCCTCTCCCAGCCAGCGTCCGCCGTGCAGACATGCATCCCCTCTGGGAAGAATCCATTGAGAAAGAATAAATCACCTCCTGTTTGATCGCCTCCCGTCCACCATTCCCTCAGGATTTATCCCATCGGTTGCATTACACATCACCCCACGTAAAGCAGAATCACGGGTTCCAGAGCCTTCTAGATACAGTGGGGCCTTGACTTACCAGTTTAATTCGTTCCGAGACCGAGCTCATTAAGGAGCTCATTAACTCAAATTACTCTTCAACTCAATGCAAAAAATCTGCCGAGAGACATCTGGTATCTCAAAAAACTCGTTAGTCGGGACACTCGTAAGTCAAGGCCCCACTGTACTTGAGGCAAACACTTAGCTCCCTGGTTGTCCTTGAGGAAACACGGCCGGCCATGCCCCACTATCTCCTCCACCCCCAGAACGGAGCACCCACGGTCAGGACTCTGAAACCCACCACCCGGAGCTGGTCCCGTCCTCTCCCCTTGTCCCAGGGAGTGGTCCCCGCCCGTCCCCGCCCGTCCCCGCCCTGGCAAAGCCCTCCCCCACCTCTGAGTGTCTTCCTCTCTGGGTTTATGATTGACAGGAACGTGTTCCGCAAACTGCTCGCCCAGCCAGAGAAGGAGAAGAGTGATATCCTGTCCCTGGAGGAGATTCTGGCCGAGGGGACAGACCTGGCGGAGACAGCCCCGCCCCCCCTGTGCGCCAGCCGCAACAGCAAGGCCAAACTGAGAGCCCTGAGGGAGGCCATGTATCACAGCGCTGAACATGGCTACGTGGATGTCACAATTGACATCAGGAGCATCGGTCAGTGTGGGCACCCTCCGCCCTGGGCACAGCACCACTGCCCGGCTCCCACTCACACACACATGCACACACACACACACAGGCCCAGGGGGCCTCTCCTTCGCTGTGGAAGCTGAGAGTCCCACACTGTCCCCATCGACAGCAGCATCCTGCCAGCTCCATCCTCAGGTCACCTTTCCATGATTCCCACACTCTGGACCCTGGAAGTTAGGAGTTCGAATCACCTGGGAGCTTGTCTGAATACACATTGCCAGGCCCTACACCCAGAAGCTCTGCTGTCTAGGGTCTGGATGGGTAAAGGCTGGAAATCTTTATATTTAACAAGCATCCCAGGTGGTTCCCAGTGAAGACCCATGAAGCTGCGGCCGGGCAGCGGCTAGAGTGAGGACAGGCTTCCTGACCAGGGCTCCCCCTCGGAAAGCCTCTTCCTGGACTGAGCTAGCCCACAGCCACCTCCTCTGTGCATCTGAGGGACAGGCTAGCCTGGCCTTCCCAATCTAGTGGCATAGGCCCAGCATGGGAATAGCAGGACTCGCGTGGGCCTTAAACTCAGGTTGTAGCCTGAGGCCCTGCAGAGGGGCCCCTGATGCTGTTCTAGAAAAGAGCCTCTCACACAGGGGCTGTTTAGCATGTGGGGCGGTTATGCCCCAGCCCCGAGGGCCTGCTTAGCATAGTGAAGCAGCCCGAGACTCCGAAAGGTCGCTTGTTGTACACAGGAGCAAGACGCCTGCTTCTCTCCCCACGAGAGCGGGGAATCAGCTCAGCAATCAGCTGCTGGAGAAGCTCCTGCTGCGGGAGGAGCCTGATGAAGTGGCTGCAGGTGGAAATGTAGTTTCGCACGAGGACCAGCAGCCATACCCTCCGTGTTTCCTTAGGCGGGTGGAAGCATCCATCTTAGCTCACTGGTGGGTTTCACCAGCTCTCAGCTCTCGCCTGGGCACGGATGTGGTATCCAATTCTGGGCAAGACTCGCCCCCCCGCCCCCCAAGCATCTCCCTCCCCAGAAAGTGGAGGGGATGGAGACAAATGAAGTCAGCGCTGAGCAGTATGTCACAGGCCTGAGCTGTGTGCACAACGACTCCAGTATTCACCATGATTATAGGTTGTAAAATGCAGCCCCCGATAATATGAGTAGCATGAAAAAGTGGACACCCGTACTTAAGGGAATTGAATTATGACCTTTAATTTCAACTTCTGCAAGTCTTTGTGGGGGGGAATCAACACTGGCTCTATTCATCGCAAGCCTGCCTCTTGGTCTCATAATTGGGTAACGTCCTGGGGAAAGGCCAAGTTTTAGATAAAAACGCGCCTTCTCTTTTGGTTGTTCTCTGCCTTGCCCTCCCCTCTCCCCTCCCCCCAGGTGTCCCGTGGACCCTGCACACGTGGCTGGAATCCTTGCGGATCGCCTTCCAGCAGCACCGCCGGCCCCTCATCCAGGGCCTGTTGAAGGAGTTCAAGACCATCCAGGAGGAAGAGTACACGGAGGAGCTCATCACCCAGGGCCTGCCCCTCATGTTCGAGATCCTGAAAGCCAGCAAGGTACGAGGGGTCTGAGGCCCCTGGGCCGTCGGCAGAGAGCTAGGAGGTTCCCCATCTCAGGGGTCCCTTCCCTGTGGTCATGGCGGCTGGTGACTTGTGTACCCCAACTGGCTAAAGCCACTTGTGCCGTCATTTGTGGGGCAGCTGCTTTGCTGAGCCCCTGTGAGGTTCCAAGGCACTTAGGCACATGGACGAAGTAGTAAGATCTGTCCTGGCCACAGGGGATTTACACAAAAGCTGGTGAGAGAACACCAGCATGTGTGCCCTGAGGGCATCTGAGGTGGTTTACGAAACAATGGCACAGGCCCCGAGAGGTGAGGTGCCAGACGGTCAGGGAAGGTGTGCTGAGGTGCTGGGACTAGGGCAGGCCTGACAGGCAGATAGAATCCAGCGGGAGGAGGGAGACGGTGCAGGGCCCCAGATGAATGAGGTACAGGCCCTGCCGCGGTTCCCCGGAAGCCGGGCCCTGGGGAAGGCTTTTGAGATACACAGAAGCCAATGAACCATGCGCTGACCCCGAGACTCACCCCTTCCTCATGGGCCTCCCAGTTCCTGCCGGGACCTGCCTTGGAGGGAAATGGTGCAACCCCTTGGAAAACCAGTCCACTCCTGGGGCTACTGTGTGGTCAGTTCTTAAAATCTCTGTGGGGTCCTTGTTTGATGATACCTTGTTTGACGTCGCAGGGGTAACAGGCCTCTGAACCAGGCCTCTGACACCCAGTACCCGCCGGTGGGCCATGCGGCATGGGGGGCCGGGGGGAGGACAACTTTGAGAATGGACAGCTGTGGTGGGCCTGGTCCCCAGCCAGCCATGGAGTGGAGAGCCCAGGTCAGGGGGAGGGGTGGCAAAAGCCCCACCACTGGCTGGGGAAGCACCAGGTGGGGGCGATGGGGACCAGTTTGCCTGGGAGGCTTTGAGGAGTTTGGGCACCAACCATCCCATCCCCCAGGGCTTCTCAGTGGGCCTCAGGGGACGGGATCGCACAGTGGTTGGGAGCCAAACTGTAGGAGTTCAAGCCTGGCTCTGCCACTTACTTGCCTTATGACCCTAGTCAAGTTACATAACTTCTCTCTGCCTCAGTTTCCCCACCTGAAAGTGGGGACAGTGATTACTCTGAGAACAATGGAAAGGGGCCAGGGGCTGGGATTTTTAGTTTTATTCATTTCAAATGGTCCGGATCCGGCCCGCGGGCCGTAGTTTGCCCACAGCTGTTTTAACCTCTTAGGCTGGCTGTGAAGAGAAAATGAGTCAGTGCCCTTCACACTGTCCCTGAGTGAGCGCTTTAGAGTCCCCATCATAGTGACGGCCTCGCCAGGGGATGTGGTGCCTCCATTGCTTCCCAAGGGCTGTTCTGTAGCAACCAGCCCTTCAGCAGGGATGACATCAACATATTTAACACCCAGCGCAGCCCAGGCACCAAGGAGCCCATGGAAACCACATGTAACCGGCTGAACGCCAGCTCCTCTCCTCAAGATCACATTGGATTAACCCAATCTCTCTACTGCAGAGCCTTGCGTAGCCTGATTCACAAAGGCAAGCAAGCGTTTCCCAAACTCACTTGACCCCGGAACCCTTTTTATAATGAACTGTCTCGAGACGGAAAGGGGGACTTTTTTTAAGCTAAAATATGTAGTTAAATCCTCACAGGCAACTTTTGAAGCAGATACTGCTCTTATCCCCCATTTAACAAATGGGGAAACTGAGGCACAGAGAGGTTGACCAGTGTGCCCGAGATCACAGAGTCGCTACATAGCAGAGCTGGGACTGAACCCAGGCGGTCTGGCCCCAGTGCCAGCCTCTTCCCCCTCAGTCCCAGATCAGGCTTGTGGAGCTCTGGGGGCCCCTGTGAGTCACCTGTGATGTCACAGGGGAAACAGGCGTCTGAACCAGGAAGGCAACCTGGGTCTCCCCCCCCTGACCCCCAGGCTGGGCCCACGGGCTGCCCGAGAGAAGGACGAGAGGACCAGGGAGTGCCTTTGCCGGCAGCTGGGGGGCCACGGTAAAGCATCAGCACCTCGGCGTCCTGCCTGCTCTCTGAGCCTGGAGCACGTGGCCCGGTCCGAGCAAGGCCCATTAGGTCTTCTCATTAGCACGGTCTCCAGCCCAGCGTCCAGGCCCCCGCGGGCTAGATTTATGCTTGATGTCAGGCCCCACTGAGACCTGAAGTGGGAGCAGGTGTGCGGCCTCCGGTAATGAGCCTGGGCCGTTCTATGTGGAGTGAAACCTGCTGGAGGCTTTTCAAAACCAAATGCTCCCTGCCCCTCACCCCCCACCTTGGAAATAAATAAAAAAGGCTTTCACCTGAAATTACCTAAGAGACCACCTTCGGGACAAACGTTCCTCGTTCGGTTCCCAGGGTCTGGTGTGCTAATAATGAGTGTCGAGTTTTTAATTTCCTTCCTTTCTTCGGGATATAGTGGGCATTCCAGAAATTACCGAAGCATCTTGTGTTTTAAGTAAACCTGCTCTCTGGGGTTTCTAACATCGTTTTTAATAAGACATACATATATGCACACGGAAAAGTGCCCCAATCGTAACTCTAGAGGCAAAGGAATTTCCACAAAGTAAACCTACCTGTGTGATGAGCACCTGGACCAAAAATAGAGCATTGCTGGCACCCGCCAGCCCCCTCCTGCCCAGCCCAGCCCCTACCCTCCCAGAGCAGCCAACAGCTCCGACAGCAGCAGCTGGGGCTGGGAAGAAGGGAGGGGCCTTTGCCAGGATGTGTGGACAGAGCCTGCTCCAACAGTTGTACTGATCATGGAGGGGGGACCCAGGGATGGGGCCGGGGCAGTCTAGGAGGGCTGCACCCAGTCAGGTTTGCTCTTACAGTAAATGGGGGTTTAATGGCAACCCCTACTGGCGAGATGTGGTATTACACATCACTATGAAACTTACCAGTGGCTGTGTGAAGTCAGGCATTCTCCAAGCATGGGTGATAGTCCTGCAGTCAGATCCTGTAGGCTTATTTTGCTTTTCTTTTTCTAGGTTCTTGAGGTAGAAGGTTAGACTATCAATTTTAAACTGTTCCTTTTTTCTTCTATATGCACTTGATACTCTACATTTCTCTGCTCAGCACTACCCTAGCTGTGTCCCACAATTTTTGATATGTTTTATTTTCACCTTCATTCCGTTCAGTGTATTTTATATTTCCCTTGAAACTTGCGTTTTTTGGCTTATGGATTATTTGAAAGTGTGTTATTTAGTTTTAAAATGTTTGGGGATTTTTCTGTTACTGATTTCTAGTTTGATTCCATTGTGGTCAGAGAACACATTCTATATTATTTCACTCCTTTTTTAAAGATTTGTGATTTGTTATATGGCCCAGAATATGGCCTATCTCAGTATAGGTTCTGTGGGCACTTGGAAAGGGGTGCTTGCTGCTGTTGTGGGGTGTTCTGTAATTGTCAGTAATATCCTTATGCTGAGCTCTTCTGTATCTTACATTCTATATTCTGTATCCTATATTCTGTATCCTATATTCTGTATCCTATAGAATATCCTCTCCAGTTATCCTATCAGTTGACAGAGGGGTGTTGACGTCTCCGACTGTAATTGTTGAATTTGTCTACTTCCCCTTTTAGTTCTATTGGTTTTTAGCTCACATATTTTCAGCTGTGTCCATTTAGTGCAGACACATTTAGGATTGCAGTGTCTTCTTCGTGTATTAATCTTTTTGTCATTATATAATACTCCTCTCTGCTTCAACTAGTTTTCTTTGCTCTCAATTCTCCTTAATCTAATATTAATACAGCTACCCCTGCTTTCCTCTGATTAATGTTTGTATGTTATTTTCCCGGTCCTTTTATTTTCAACTTGCCTATACGTTACATTTAAGGTTTCTTATAAACAACATGCAGTCGGACTTTTCATCCATTCTGTCGATCTCTGTCTCTTAATCAAAATTTATAGACCATATATATTTTATATAATTATTGATGCTCTATG